TGACATCCTCTTCTTCAATTTGGATGTCCTTTATTTCTTTCTCTTTCCTGATTGCTCTGGCCAGGACCTTCAGTATGATGTTGAATGGAAGTGGTGACAGTGGGCATCCTTGTTTTATTTCACTTCTAAGGAGGAATAATTTCAACTTTCCCCCATTAAGAATGATCTTAGCCATGGGTTTGTCATATATGGCTTTTATTATTTTGAGATATGTTCTTTTTATGCCTAGATTCTTGAAAATTTTTATCATAAAGGGGTAGTGGATTTTAATGAATGTTTCTTCTACATCTGTTTATTAGGTTGATGATATGTTTTTGTTTTCAATTCCTTTATGGCCAATTACAATAGTTGATTTGTATATGTTGAACCAGTTTTGCACTGCTGGTATGAAATCAACTTGATCATGCTGAATTATCTTTTTTTCTTTATTAAATCATAACTGTGTACATTAATGAATTTATGGGGTGCAATGTGCTGATTTGATATACAATGTAGAATTTTTACATCTAACTGATTAACATAACCACCTCATTGCTTACTTATTTGTTGTGGTTAGACATTTATATTCTATTCTTAATAGTTTTGAAATGTATCATTACATTATATACATTTGCCTCAACCCACAAATGGATAAACAAATCATGGTATATGTATGCCATGGAATAGTATGCAGCCACAAAAAGATGGAGACTTCACATCTTTTATGTTTACCTAGATGGAGCTGAAAAATATTCTTTTTAATAAAGTATCTCAAGAATGGAAAAAAAGCATCCAATGTACTCAATACTACTATGAAATCAGTATATAATTACCTAAACATTCATAGGAATGAATTATCTTTTTGATGTGCTATTGAATTTGCTTAAATAGCATTTTGTTGGTCTGTAGTTTCCTTTATTGTTGTTGTTGTGTCCTTGTCTGTAAAAAGTTTGAATTTTAAAAAAATTAATATACTATCACAGTAATTCAAGTGAAAGATAGGGATGTTGGCACATGACGGCAAGTGGTAAATAATTTCAAGATATGTTAGGAGCTAAGATCAAAATAGAGTCTGCACATCCATTCTATAATAATGGCTAAATATTATCATTTAAAACTATGAAAGTATGTAGAGAAAAATTAAGAAGATCATCACTCTGCTTAATAAAATATGTACAGATACTCTGCATAGAGTAATTAGAAGACCATACAGTATTATGGGGAAAATACCCTGAAAAGAGAATATAAGATGTGACTTTTGGTCTGTAGATGAGTACAAAATACATACTGGGATGCTGGTTAAGACTTCTAATTTGTTAAAAAGTATGTTTAACTGACATTGCTTTTGATTTTGTCTTTTTATAAATTGTTACAGGTGGCCACTAGGAGCTCACAATATAATCCATTTAAAATTTATAATACCCGTGTTTTCATTGGACCACTGCTTTCCAAGCATACTGACTTCTAAAGATGTAATGTCCTTAGAGACATTCCAGGCTACTGTGACAAGATGTGAGAGCAACCCAAATAAAACTGAGACATAGACAAATAAAATTCACCTTATACCAAAAATAGGTGCACACTTTGCCTGTTATTACATCCATCACCTTCACTTTGTACCGATAAGCAAAGTATAATGTTTGTCGTCAATGAAAATTAGGCTTACTCACCACGCGCCATTCTGTGGAATAAATCCATGTATATAATATAAAATTATTAAGAAAAACAATTTGTTTTCGTGTACTGTGTGACCAGGAGAGAGCAGCCCTAGCAGGTGATTTTCTGTTACTACTTCCTTACACCTATTTACGTATTAAAAGCACAATTCTAAAATCTAATCTCAATAAAAGTTGCATTGTTCGCTCTATTAGACACCACCTGCTACACAGCCATAGTCATTTGCTTGTTTTATTATCAGCAGATAAATAAAAGCTCTAAACTTTAACAAAATATGCCCACACTTCTGTGTACCTATGTCTGAAATCACAGCATTAAGTCACTCTCAGTGTTCCAGTTTGGGCACACGTCTTAGAACACTCTGAGATTGTTCACCTAACTCCTTCCTGGTCCTCCCACGGAGAATAATCATTTTAGGGGAAAAAA